TTTTATGTCTTCCATTGCCTACTAGAATCTACAGCCATGAATAGAATACTTTATATCTCAATATTACCTGCATGCTGTTATTAAACATCCTGAAAGAGCAGAACTCTGTACATGACTCTGTACTCCAGTTGTTAGAACATTTGCCTGGTAGACATACCCTGACTCCAAACCCAATCCCATGATTTTATAGAATTACCATTATTTAAGTTATTATATAGTGATGTACACATCAGTGATATATACAATGACTCTTGTATTTGCCCTTCTCAGTGAATATTATTCAGGCAAAATACAACAATTTCTATAGACAGATAATGAGAAAATAATCTAGGCTGAATGTCACAGGATTCACTTGGAAAGTGGATTTTATAAAACCTCAAATGCCATCAGTCAAAGGAGTAAAATGAATCAGCCACCTACTCTTTTTATATACAATTTATATGGGATCTACTTTGGTAAATGTATCAGAAACCCTAACAAGCTGGACCTTGCAAGCTAGATAGGCAGAGAGATGCCTCAATTATAGGTTCCAATGGGATTTAGGTACTGAGGTGTATAATGTAATCTAGATATGATTGTCCAAAGAATAAGTCTTCAAATGAAAAAAAACCTGGTAATTTCTCTTGAATTAGATGGCAGCTGAGCAAGGGATTAAGGATGCTGGAGAGGGACTCTTCATCAAGGATGCAGCGATAAAACAAGGGGTAATGTGTTCAAACTAAAACAGGAGAAGTTCAGGTTAGATATAAGGAAGAAGTTCTTTACTGTGAGGGTGGTGAGGCACTGGAACAGATTGCCCAAAGAAGCAGTAAATGCTCCATCCCTGGCAGTGTTCAAGGCCAGGCTGGACAGAGCCTTGGGCAACATGATCTAGTGTGAGGCATCTCTGCCAATGGCAGGGGAGTTGGAACTAGATGATCTTAAGGTCCTTTCCAACCCAAACTATTCTATGATTCCATGACTTCAGGTCAGGACATGTTCATATTGCAAAACAGGCCAAGTGCAAGGTCTTGCACCTAGGTTGGGGCAATTCCAAGCACAGCTAGAGGCTGGGCAAAGAATTGATTGAGAGCAGCCCTGAGGAGGACTTCAGGGTGCTGGTTGATAAGAAGCTCAACATGACCCACCAATGTGCACTCACAGCCCAGAAAGCCTACCATATCCGAGGCTGCATCAAAAGGAGCATGGCCAGCAGGTTGAGGGAGATGATTCTACTCCTCTGCTCTCATGAGACCCCACCTGCAGTACTGCCTTCTGCTCTGGGGCACCCAACACCAGAGGGATGTGGACCTGCTCAAGTGAGTCCAGAGGATGGCCACAAGATGATCAGAGCACTGGAGCACCTTTCCTGTGAAGACAGGCTGAAAGAGCTGGGGTTGTTCTGCCTGTAGAAGAGAAAGCTCTGGGGAGACCTTAAAGTAGCATTCCAGTACATAAAAGGGAACTACAAGAAATCTGGAGAGGGACTTTTTACAAGGGCATCTAGTGACAGGACAAGGTGCAATGGCTTTAAACTGAAAAGGGGTAGAATTTTTATTAGATATAAGGAAGAATTTCTTTACTGTGAGGATGGTGAGACACTGGCACAAGTTGCTCAGAGAAGTTGTGGCTGACCCATGCCTGGAAGCATTCAAGGCCAGGTTGGATGGGGCATTGAGCAACCTGGTCTAGTGGAATGTGTCACTGCCCATGGCAGGGGAGTTAGAACCAGTTGATCTGTGAGGTCCCTTCCAACCCAAACCATTCTGTGGCTCTCTGATTTTTGCAGGGCTAACTTTCAAATACATTGGCTGAAAATGTTACAGCAACACAATAAACTAAAACACAGCATGCATCCAAATTACCCAACTCTCTTCATGAGTACCTTTTTCATTGCTGTTACCCAGTCTCTCATAGCCTCTTTGGGGAAGAAGGTGGGCATTAGCCAAGACCACTGCCTCTGTGGTGCTCATTGACAAAGTGCATTGAGAGAGCAAGAACAGAATAAATCCCACTGAGCTCGTCATCAACATCTTCCTTTCAGGTCAGTCCTTCTGCAGCAATACAGATCTGTAACACAGAGTGGATTAAAAAAGGAAAGATTTATGAATTCTAATAGGAAAGTCCTGAAGACAAAAGGTATTGAAATACTGAGCTTCAGTGTAGTAAGCCTCTGCCAAAATCAGCTTCTCCCATCTTTCAAGGACTTCTCCCTTTCCTAATGTCTTGCACCCTCTATCTGACTGGTCATTCCTCTGACACAGAGGATTAGACTCTTAGCTTACCTTGTACCATGCTGGGCAATGAAACAGAATGTAATTTTGTTGTGACAGAAAAGTAACAATGGAAGAAAAAGCACATCTTGCATTTATCAGAATTGAAATATTTCCTGAGTCCAAACTAGTGAAATAGAGCACCAATGGTCAACCTGGCAGAGACAGTAACAGTAGCTCTGCTGACTGTCTAGTTCAAACAGTACTCAAAGACATGGCTTTCTTAGTGCTGGCAATATTTCTATGCCCTGGATACCTCCAGCACATCTGGACTATCGTATTTATGAATTTCCATCTACACCTTTAAATAATAGGTCACAGGTTTAAATTAGATTAAAAAAAAAATTAAAAAAAAAATGAACAAAGAAAACAGAACTTTTCTTCAATCTCAAAACCCACAAGGGTTTAATATATTGTATCAAAACCTTTTTGATCTTGTCCTCCTTTTGGGGTTACACATCTAGTAACCCTCCATCCAACATAGCAAGAAGTCTTATGTTATTACCAGACTAAGTCCTAAGTCAGGCAAATCCCAGTTTGACTAAAGAGGATTTTTTGTTTCAACAGCAGCATAGGCTGAAGCAGGGTAACTAATGTTTCCCGTACTCTCAAAGGACACATTTGCTTAAGACTTGCTAAACGGGGGTGGTTTTTTTTGTTTTGGTTTGTTGTGGTTTTTAAGGAGAGCTCCCCCCAATGACTTTGGCAAAGGCAGCAAACAGATTTAGCAAACAGCTCTTTCATCAGAACTTATTTCCTGCCAGCGTCAGCATGGTCTACAGAGGCCAGTACCCTTCTCTACAGTGGTTTATGTTCCAGCAAAGCCACGTTCCTTATAAATGTAATGACTTAGCAGCAGATTCAGCAAACAGTATTCCATATAGAAAAAAATATTCACTCCATTTTAAAAAATATCCAAGACAAATCACAATAAGAGAGTTCAGGTATGAGAGTTAATTTTTATAGCTACCATGCAGAAAAAAAGCAAACCAGAATTTTCTACTCTACCTAAAGTGATTAAATAATAATTCTGATTTACTATTAATATACAATTGCTATTTCATGCAGGGTTGGTCATTTGACATTGAAATTGTAATAAACCGGGAAATTACCTCCCATTAAATTTGTCATAGGGATTCCCTTAAAGCATTTAAGTTGCACTCTACCTACATTTCCCACTGTCATGTATCCTTTTCCGTGAAAGCTTCTATTATTGTTTCTACTATTAAGTATTATGTTATAAATGACTTACTTAAAATAAAAACCTAACCCACAAGCATCACTAAACTTCAGGAAAACTGTACTTGGATCTGGAGTTATTATTTTAGAAGTTTTATTTTAATTTAGCATTTCTGAGTGAGTCTGTTTTTTCTTCCTTCATATTTACGCACTGAAATGATTTACAGATCCATTTAATTCTAAAATAGATCTTAGTATTATAAATTACTAATAAAGCAACTGAGGAAAACAGCACTAGGTAGGCACCTTACCTCTTTTAAGTGAAGCTTGGCAAAGAAAATCATGCAGAAATGAATAAGCTCATTCTGTACAGTTGTACTTTGCCTGACACTTAAGCCCAGGTGAATAAATCAGCTCCAACACACTATCTCAAATACAGCAAAACTGCATCTTCATTATTTCACACTGCGTGCTTACTCTGGTGGACTTTACTCTGACATATTACACTTGCAAGTATTTATGAATTATAAAGTACAAAGTCCTTCTGTAAAGATTAAAACAACACAGTAACTAATTAAATTTCCTTGATCAATAAATAGACACAGTGACAGGGAACCATGAAGAGGTTTTAGTTCTGAAAATTACTTATGTTGCTTAAATACACACAGACAGATGCTCAAATTTACTGTGTCATTTTGCATAGGTGAATTAACTCAAGGGCATACTGCTATTCACATTAGAATTGCATAGCAAGTTATTAGCTTATAAAAGTACTTATATTGCTTAAAAACACACTAGCAGATGCTCAAATTTACTGTGTCATTTTGCATAGGTGAATTAAAACTGCATAGAGACAACTTGATTTTTAAGCATTAGGAACAAAGGACCAAACCAACCATAACCCTTGTTACTTCATGTTATAACATGAATGAATGAGAAGCAGTGTCTCAGAGCTATAAAAATGGGGAAAAAAAACCAAACAACAAACCACCAAATCAGAACAGGCTGGTCAACAGAGTGCTGTTTTAGTTTATTTGAATTAACAAGAGTTAATTAACATTAATTCAGGTCAAACCTGTAATGAATTAGATTAATTATTTTTTTCCATGTATCTGGAAATTGCACTATCTTCATGGCCTTTAGATGATGTCTAATCTAGCATTTACCCCTTTTAATATGAGCCAACAGTTCAGTTTTTGTGCTTCTTGATCCAGCCTGCAACCCACTTTGATCAGATTCTATCCCTGAAACAAGCCACAATTAAAAGTGATGGAGCATTTACATCCTCTGCAAGCTCTCCTTGAGGATTTGTACTATGCATAATTTCTGTCCTTCAATAATTTATCCTCAGTGAAAGCACAACATGTGTGGATTTCTATTTCATGCACTATTAAATAAGTAAATGTAACAAATGTTTTAAGGAAGATTTTCTTGTAACATCTAAAACACAGTGATATTTCTCTTCATTTTTCAGGTACAAGCAGTGCTTTATTATAGATGAGAATGGCCACAAGGAGTCAGAACAGTATCTTTTCCAAAACACTGGGCAGTAGCAGAGCTTCAGGATAGTTTAAGAACACATTCTCTCCACTTCTACTGTTATGCAGCTCAGGGAATTTCTGGTATCAATATGTTTGACATATCTAATTTTTGGTTGGTACTAAGCTTTATAAACCTTGGCTAAGGCATGAAAATACCTTATGAAATAATTAAAGTGCTTTGAGCAGATACAGATCTTGCTGAAATGGTATGCTAAAAAGGTCAGAAGGTACTGCTCCATTCTGTCCATATTGATAAAATCTAGAAAACACCACTGACTTTAGTGGTATTTACTGACAGGTCTCGTGTTACCCTGGTTTAAATTGGGGTGCATTTTTGCTTTGTGCCTTTGATTCCTACATTTTCCATCACTGTTTATCTTCTACCCATCTTTTTTCTTTAATTTCTTGCTGTTTGCTTCTCTTTGTTATTTCCAAATTTTCATCTGAGCTGTCAGAGCAGAAGCAAAGTGGGAAGCATTTAATTAGAAGAGAGAGGAAAGGGCAGAAGTATTAATTCACTCGTGCTCAGAAAGGCATCTATTTCTGTAGATGAAAACTTTGAAAAATAATGAAAATTACTACATCTCTCTCTCTGATCTTGATGAAGTATTTAGAGAATAATTTTTCAGCCATGAAAATTACATAGTGATCTTAAGGTACTTTACATTGGTATGGTTTGGTCATATAAATTTCAAAATAATGCATTACTATAATGACTTATAGTTAGCCATGTTAATTAAGATAGTTAGTTTGTCTGTCCAATAACCAGGTCCTTCTCCACAATATGCTGAAGTTTTAATTATCCCTCTGATTCTGCTAACCTTTAACTGGCAAGCATTCATTTGAATTTTTTTCCAATGCATGCTGTCCTTTGTGGAAATTGTCTTTACAAGTTCTCAGTATTTTAACAATTCATGGTACAGCCTTGCAAAGGGAAGATTTGTCTCTGATCAATTTCATCAAGCTCTAAAGTAAGTTGCAAAGACAATCTAGCTCCTATTTTGCAACTAATCTGACTCTGTCTGTAAAGGATGTGAAAAATGTCCAAATCTAAGCCATACAATGAAGCCATCCATTCTAGCAATGGCAAAGTACTATTAATTTAATCTTAGTAGTCTGGATGATTGTGACAGCCAGTGGCAGTATTACACAGTGAAAGAACCATGAATCATTTTGGTTGGAAAAGACCTTTAAGATCATGAAGTCCAATCATTAACCTAACACAGCCAAGTCCACCACTAAACCATGTCCCTTTGCACCATATCTACACTTCTTTTAAATACTTCCAGGGATGGCCACTCAAACACTTCCCTGGGCAGCCTGTTCCAATGCCTTGACCAATGCCTTTCAGTGAAGAAATTTCTGCTTATATTCAGTCTAAACCTCCCCTGGGACAAACTGAGTCATTTTGTCCTATCGCTTGTGTGGCACAAAAGACCAACATCCCACACACACTACAACCTCCTTTCAGGTAGTTGTAGAGAACAGGAAGATCTCCCCTCAGAGTTCTCCAGGCTAAACAACCCCAGTTCCCTCAGCTGCTCCTCGTAAGTTCTCCAGACTCGTAAGTTTCTCTGGTTCTCCATACCCTTCCCCAGCTTTGTTGCCCTTCTCTGGACCTGCCCCAGCACCTCAATGTCCTTTTTGTAGTGAGGAGCCCAGAACTGAACACAGTATTCAAGGTGCAGCCTCACCAGCACCCAGTACAGGGGGGTGATCACTACCCTGGCCCTTCAGGCCACACTACTGCCGGTACAGGCCAGGGTGCTGTTGGCTTTCTTGGCCACCTGGGAACACTGCTGCTCATGTTCAGCCGGCACATGTGGATGGCCTGCTCTTTCAGATTTCCTTCTTGAAGCATGCCCAGCCTTCCTGGACTCCTTTGTCATTCAGGACTGCCTCCCAAAAGTGACTCTATCAACCAGTCTTCTAAATAGGCTCAAGTCTGCTCTCTGCAAGTACAAGGTAACTGTTCTGCTAACCTCTTACTTGCTTCTCCAAGAATCAAAAACTCTGTAATTTCGTGATCACTGTGCCCATGATGGACTCCATTATTAATGGGAAGGGCTTTGACAGGCTAGCAACTTGCGTACCCAGGGAATTCAAAAGACTTGAGCTGGGCAATTTATGGCTTTGTATTGTTGCCAGAAACCTGTAAAAATGCTAACTTTTATGCAGTAATCTTGTTCAGCATACTAAGGAGCTCAAAAGACAAAGTTCTAACAAGGGAAAACACATAAAACATAAAAAAAGGCTCACTAAGTGTCTTTCCTGAAAGAAGTTTTATGGCTGCACAGCATGAGTGGTTGCTTCAGGGAAAAACAAACCAACAATTCCACCCCACCCCCCCATCAACCAAACAAAAAACCCAGGGCATAGAAATACATCTGCTGCTTTGAGTGGCTTTGAATTGCTTTGCAACCTTGGCTAAATGCACTTTGGTATCTTTGTGTAGGAGCAGTTGAAAAAAATGAATGTTCATAACAGTTTTCACTTGTTCTTGAACTTCTGAGCTGGCAATGGCATGTGAAGTGTGTTTTGTCTGACAATGCAGAAAGCAGTTATTAACTGCTGAAACATATTGTGCAGGTTCTCAATCTCTTTTTACACCTTCATTATTTGTGAGATTTACCACTACTTTGGAAATGAACCAGGGTATATATTTTTTACTGAATGTAAAAGAAAACAAATGCTCTCCTCTCAGAAACATTTGACTTTTCAAATGTTCAGCAACCTTTTTTCTTTTTAGATTTCTTTATGAAAACATTCCAAGGTCTGAAGTAAACATTGAAAATGTATCTTCATGTATTCTGTTGAACCACAGACTAAATTCTAAAGGCACAGGAACTTAACTGAATTGAAAAGGGTTCACTTTCAACAAAAACACTGAATTAGGACCTAACTTGAAAAATACATCCACATCCACCATCATAGAAGATGCTAGAAAATAATTGTTTGATTAGGTGACAGACAGAACTAGAGGTAATGAAAAACTTAAGTTACTCAGCTAGCTTTGGAAAAGGGTATGATAGGACACATCTTGTGACTTTTCAATTCTAAAGGGGGCAGAAATTGCCAGATATAATCATTGAAGGTGAAAACTGATGGAGAGTTATTTGTTGGAGAGTGTGGAATGCAATATAAGTGGCACCTATCTTAATAGGGTAGAATTTGTGATTTTGAGGAAAGGAAATATATGTGCAATAGTATAATGACAATATATGTAAAAAAATAAATATATACATATAAAAAACAGACCAAGAAACTTAGGCAACCATTTTCTATCCTCACTTGCTAAGAGTCAGAGAGAGAAAGGCTCTTTAAGGGAGCTGGCAACTGATGAAAGCTGCTATAATAAGGGGGACATGACAAACTATTTCTTGTGAAGAAAGACAGGAACCATACTAAGAGCGCAAAAGGTCTGGGTCAAGAGTTCTTTAGAAATTTGAAAATCAGACTGAAGTTGTGCAAACAAGTGGAATAAAAGGACAAATTCCTAAGAGTGACTATACAGGAATAACAGAATAACAGACTAGGATAAAATCTGCGGTTAGTTACTGTTGGCAAGGAACATAAAAAATAGACAAATATTCTGTAACTGCATTGGAAATATAAAGAAATCAAAACTAAAAATCCATAACTTCTTTACTGTGAGAGTGACAGAGCACTGGAACAGGTTGCCCAGGGGCGTTGTGGAGTCTCCTACGCTGGAGATGTTCAAGGCCTGCCTGGACAAGTTCCTATGTGATGCACTCTAGGTTACCCTGCTCTTGCAGGCGGGTTGGACTAGATGATCTTTTGAGGTCCCTTCCAACCCTTGGGATTCTGTGATTACCTAATGAGGGAGAAGGACAAAAGGCACAGATTTGGTGACCTTTTTTGTTGCAGGCTTTATAAACAGTGATCAGATACTTAATGAAATTAATTTTAATGAAGGAGTAGGACTGGAGGCCAAATTAGGTGAAAAACATCTCAAAGGTACTGAAGTAGTTAGGTATTTTCAAAGTGGCAAGGACAAATTAAATTCTATGAGCAAAAGTCCTCTTTGAACCATTTACAATTACCTTTCAGAAGTCATGGAGGTCCCAGAGGACTTCAGTGGGCACAGTAGAGGCCTATCTTTTAGAAAGAGGAAAGACTAAGAGAAATAAAGAGAAAATAGCTAAAATAAAGTGAAATTCAGAAAATAACCTAAAAAAGTGGAATGATAAGGTGATGAAAAGTAGCCAGTGTAGACTGGTCAAGAGCCTTATTCCTCCATGCTACATGGATCACTCCCTTTCCCATCCTTTGGTCCTTTCTCTAAACATTCCACAGAAAGTTTCACACATTACCAGAGTCCTATTAAAAGCACCCCATGATAACCTTTAAACAAATCTGAAGTGCCCTTCCCCCTGCATGCCATTACAAGTCTCGTATAGGCAACACTTCAGCCTGCAAGGAGTTCTGGGAAAGTTTGTTTGGGTTTCAAACCAGGGACAATGGTCTAATAATTCCCTTTTGGTAGTCTTAGGAACAGTCAAGTCTGTTTTCCAGTTTTCACTGATTAGGTTAACTAGGATTCCTCTGCCTGTCACTGTGCATCTGAACCTCACCAGGCTTTTGTGTTTACCATGATTAATCACATAGTCCAACGATAACATGGTTCAGTAACCACAACCTGTGACTTGGAATGTTCAAATGCCACATCTGGGAAAGCTTGTTCATCAGGAGTAGTACCGTATGGGAACAGCTTTCCCAGGCTGGTTGTGAAATCTCCATGTTTGGAGGATTTAATACTGGCTAGACACAGCATGACTGAACTGGTGTTGGTGATAATCGTGCTCAAAGTGAGGTTGATGAGAGACCACCAAAACAACAAACACATCCATCATTGGCAGTCTGGACTTCAGAGCAAATAAACCTTAAAAGTGTCTAGCATTTGCGTTTGCTCCAGATATGGCATATTGCAAAATATGATTCAAACTCAGAGTCATATATAAAACATTACTTATCTAGGTATCAGTCAGGTTTCAGGATAACTTCTACTACAAACAAAGGGTATTTAGTAAAACCACTAAGATGAAAATATTTTCCATCTCAATGCACCAGTTTTACCTCATGTATCTGATTAAAAACAAATACCAAGAAATATTTGATAAGTACCTGCACAAATATTTGATTCAACAATTTTAGTTGATTATAAGCCCAGGTTTTTAACAAGCAATGTGTCTGAATCAATCATCAGCTACACGTTTAGTTTAAAACATTGTAGCCTAACCTTGTAACATAGGAGTCTAAAATCTATTTTCTCATCTGGGACAAGAAGCAGCTGGGAGCATTGTCATGGCAACCATCTTATTTCCAAAGAGAGATTCCATGACTTCTGTTGCTATCTAGCAACCTCACAGCTGAAGTATCTGCTACAAAATGCAAGGAAAAAGAAAAAAGGACTTTTCATATACAGCAATATACCATCATAAGAAAGGCTTGGAAGGAACATAAAAAGAATGCTTCAGAACATAAGGCAGGCTTTAAATAAACAAATTAAATTCTCAGTTTGATGATGAGCACAGGGAAGAAACTATACCAATCACAAACCACATATATCCTACCACACTAACATGTGTCTGTGCAGCTGACTGTGGGAATTATCTCTCCTGGAAGTGATGGTTATCACAGATCTCACTGTCTCACACTAACTACATGACTTAGTTTCTTGATCCTGCTGCTGTTTAAGGACAATCGATAGCAACATAAATAACACACAGGAGGTGGATAGGGTGGGAACAGCAAAATTTCTACCAAAACAAGACATTTTACTGCTCACAGTTCTCCCCAGGAGAGAGACTGGGATCATATCATAAGAATTAGTCAGATTGCTCAGTAACTACTAAAAGGTTTAAGGAACTGTAGCATTAGGAATCTATAGTCTAAGAACCTATACAGACTAGAAAACCTGCAATATCTCTTTAACACACAGTTTCTGAAACCCATCTTACAGAGTTTAGAAATTAAGGGAAGTTCATGCACAGGTGGTTTAAACTCTTGTTTACCTACCTGTGCTTCAGCTTGGTTAGCTGAATGGCCTTTCCTAACTGCTTAATTTTAAGCATTCCTGGTTATGGCATACTTTGGTTACTGAGAGGAGATTATCTGTAAGTGCTACAGCAGTACTAGTCTATACACATGTGAAAATTACATTCCTACAGCATAGGCTAGGAGTTTTTCATCACCTGCTATCTGCAGCCATCATATAGAATACCCATAATGCTGTGCTCAACAGCCAAGATCAATACCCCTTGCATTGGCTAGAGAAAGAATACTGAACTTCCCTTCAACAGTAACGATGTGTAGCAGAGCAAGATTTTCAGATGCATTTACATATTTTTCCACAGGTACTTATATGTATAAAGGTATAAATACCTTTTCCACAGGTATTTATATATTTATATAATATATATTTATATGGTAATTTTGGTCTGTATTTTGTTCATGAAGGAAGTAGCTGAAGCAAGTAGGCACTGCTAAAAATAGCAAACAGAACAGAGCCCATTTCATGGTTTGGACTTCTGTTGATAAACTCTGTTAATATTCCTGGTAAGGCACGTTGTTATTCCAAAAATACCTGCTTATTCTAACTCCTAACTTGGAACGTGAAATAATTATTAGGCCCTAAAAATATGTAAACAAAAATATATGTAAAATACTAAAATACATGAAAAAGAGTAGGCAATGTGAGCATCATTTAAAGAAAACCCACCAACAAATTGCTTAAATCAAGTTACAAATTTAAGCCTTTATAGCTGTAATCACTTCTTACGAAGAAGCACATTTCACAATGTGGAAGTTTACCTGGTTAAAAAAAAAAGGGCTATCAAATTTGAACAATGTACAAAAGACTAAAAAAGGCCAATAGAGTACTGCAAAGCTATAAAGGCACTTAATGTGCTTCAGAGGGCAGGTTTAGTCCATCATATATAAAGGATGCATAACCAGCTACAATGTATGAAGAGGAGCATACAGATTTTTTTTTTTGTCATATAGATTTAACATTGAAAGAGGCAGAATTCTTTAAGTGTGTTTCATTTCTATGTGATACTAATGGAGTGGGCTGAAAGAAGCTGATAACTTTCAGTGTTAGGCACTGTGATTTAAGTTGACATATTTCATGAAGGAACTACTTAGGTCCTCTGGACATGTTCTTCAATTTTATATTTACTCCCTCTCCTCTCCCAGGAAAAAACTGTAAACAGTACATTTTGTTAAGCTTCTGTGTTTTCACTGAACTGTGGGTCACTGCACACTCTTTCTGATATTATTCTCAGGGTACACTTAAAGGGTTTGTAAAAAA